CCTCTGCCTTGCATGATAATCCTCCATCTCCTGGGCCACATTTTAACCCCTTTATCCCCTAGATGTTTATTAATCACCCGCACAGTCCCTTTCACCTCAGTACAGTGGCACCTCTCATTGCGAACGGGATCCGTTCTGGAGCCCCGTTCGCAGCATGAGCAGAACGCAACCTGCGTCTGCATGGGTCGCGATTCGCTGCTTCTGCGAATGTGTGTGGCGTCATTTTGAGCGCATGCGGTGAAACCCGGAAGTAACCCTTTCCGGTACTTCCGGGTCACCGTGGGATGCCACCTGAAAAGATGTAACCTAAACCGAACGTGACAAGAGGTATGACTGTAGGCCCATAGTAACCATCTTGGGATACCCAGGTCTGAGTCACTTCTAGGGACTGTGGTATGGGTCTGTCAGTGAAATAGTGGTAAGGGTTGGTGCCTGGGGACGGCTAAATGAGTGCTCAGGAAGGAAAATGTTCTTGGATCTGAACCGCTCCTTGTCAGCCTTGCATTGCATGGGAATTGCTGGAGATGCAGAAGGAAAGCAGGTTTCAATTTAGGGAATCTGAAACTGAAACACCCACCCCAATTGTTGTTTATAATTATGAATGTGCCACCTGATCTCATGTTCATCTTGTGACACTGGAATATCCCAGTGGAAATTCTCTGTGCAGGCCTCTCTCACGTTCCTTTCTCCTTTGCAGTGGGTGGTCAAGGATTTATGGATGTACCACCTATGCTTCAATGGAGAATATGTATGGCACTGAAAAACCTCGATATTAAATGTCAATATAAAGAGCCCCCGTGGAACATGTGTCCTCTGTATCCATGGGGCCTCTTTTAAAGGACTCACCGTGTATAACTGTACTTAATGGAAACTTCAACCTTGGATATATAGGATTGATTCATTCATGGGATGAAGCTGTTAACTGTTATTTCTGGAGGCACAAATTATTCCTAATCTATCTTAAATACATTGATTAGTATTATGTCACTGGGTGGTGGGGCAGGGTAGTACCTCTCGTGGGGGACATATAGGGCTCCTTCGGTCCCCACCCTGCACTCAGCTCTCTCCGCTGGGCCCTAGAAGCTGGCAGCATGCAACAGCGGACACAACCCAGGGAATAGTTTTGACCGGCTGGCTAAACCTGTTGAGGATAGTCAATGGGTCTCAAACCCTCAGGGAGTTAGGGCCTTCCGCTGTATGTGAAGACAGTTCTGGTGGATTTAGCGGATGACACCAAGCGTGGATCCAACAGTCAAGAAATTGGTTTCTGCACATTATTCCAGGTACACTCCAACCAACAGCACACATTCCCTAATCCTGAAACCATTTAAGCCCTGAGGCTACTGCATTGTGAACCACCCACCATTTCAGTAGGAGTTCCTTCGGTTCTCCCACCTTCTGGCCATGTTACCCCTCCCCCTACAGAGGAATTATTCATCTGAATCCCAGGGCTGGGAGTCCTGAGTGGGGAGACAGCTGTTGGCCCTGCTGGGGGGGGGGGTTTCTCCTTGCTGGTTCCTTGTGAGAGAGGATGATGGACGAGGTGGGCCCTGATCCTAATCCAGCAGGACTTTTCTCATGTTCCCACAAACAGAAACGAGACCTACAAAGATACAGTCTCCCAGGCAAGAGAGGACATACCCCTCAATTGGTCCAGGAAAAAGATCTCTGTATTTTTCTGTTTCAAGCGAGGAGTTTATCTCAGACTTGCAGATCAGAGTCTCTCCTGTGCACAATGAGTAAAACGGAAGTGCCATTTATGTCACTGTAAAAGTATTTTGTTGAACAAAGTTATAACAAAGTAGCTGGTGTCCATTAAGGGCTAATAAAAGTATAATGGTCTCAACTTTTGTGGGCCACAGGCTGAGGATGTGGAACTGTGGAGCAGGAAGACTTGCAATCTCCATTATCCTGAGAGTCTCTTTGTAGATTTTGCGTAGTTATTTTGGAATTCCTACTGCAATATCGGCTCATGAAAAGTTACAGATGGATAAATCACACGGTTGCTGTAAACTATCACCCCCCACACAAACTCTCACTCACATACAGTCTGTAATTTTGGCAAGCTCACACCCCTTGCCTATAATACTGGCAATGCACAAGCCCTGGGTGTAGAGCCTCCAGCCACAGGCATTGTCTATCATGGAAATCCCCAGACTGGGACGGATTATGGATCTTTGGATGCTGATAGATTTTATCTCCGTTTGTAACCCACTCTGACATTGCCTACAAAAAATAAAAGTAATAGAAATGCTTTCAGGATATACTTACCGATAAACCCTGAAAACCTTTTTGTAGCATCCTCACCTCATCTGCCTCCTGAGAAAATCTCTATGTGGGACAAGAAGCTACAGTTAGAAACTGGAATATGGAACAACTGATTTGGTTCAAAATTGGGAAAGGAGTACGGCAAGGCTGTATATTGTCTCCCTGCTTATTTAACTTATATGCAGAATTCATCATGCGATAGGCTGGGCTGGATTAATCCCTAAGCCGGAATTAAGAATTGCCTGGGAGAAATATCAACCACCATCAGATATGCAGATGACACAACCTTGAATGGCAGAAAAGTGAGGAGGAATTAAAGAACCTTTTAATGAGGGTGAAAGAAGAGCGTGCAAAATATGGTCTGAAGCTCAACATAAAAAAAACCAAGATCATGGCCACTGGTCCCATCACCTCCTGGCAAATAGAGTTGGACACGACTAAACAACAATAACAACAATGCAGCCGAGGATCAGTGGGGAGAGGACTGAGCTTCCAGGGAGAAAAGGGTGGGGGAATCAGTAGACCCCCCCCCCCTTATCAGGCAGAGTGGGCAGGAGGGAGAAGCCAAGGCAGACCCACCACCGGAGATGCCTCCTCCAGCGCCCAAGGATGGAGACATCTCTCCAAAAGGAAGAGTCTCTCTCTCTCTCCCTCTCTGCTCGGTTGGCCTCCTATCCCCCAGGGATGCTGCCATTCCTCCCTCAGCCCCCCCAGTTTCCTCTGCCCTCCTCCCTCCGTCCCACAGTCTCCCCTGCGCCCACAAACCCCTTTGGCACCGCTCACCCCTCGCCCTCTGCGCCGAATCTCTCCCGGGCGCAGCAACCTCTCCATCCGGAGGGACCTTGCAAGACGGGCAGGGAGGCGGGAGATGGGGGGTCCTTTATCAAGGCCTATTTCACTTCCTTTAACCCTTTCGTGGACTCCGTCTCTCCCTCAAGGCGTAGGAGCTTTTTTGCGGGCAGGGGTGAAACTAGGCTTGATTTCCCCGAGTCAAAGACCCAACTGGAGACATTTGCGTCCCCACAAAGACATCCTCAACGGCGCCCTGCTGGAGGCGTCACCTGGTGCAAAAAAACAACCACCCCCGGCTGGCCCACCCCCATAGCTATGGCTCTGTTTCCGGGAGGGGTCTCTGTCTTTCCCTCTCTACCTTCCCCCTAAATCGCCCCCTTTCCCCACGCAGCGTCTTTACCTCTTTGTCCTCTCTGGACCTCCGCCTCCCCTGCTCGCTGTTCCGGTTTCTTTCCTCGCAATATAAAGCGGAGTAGGGGGGTGAGGGGAACTAGTCAACCCACACCCCTCCTCCCCTTCGGAAAACCTCCCACTTTTCACTTTGGGCCCCCTGGAAACTTCCGACCTATAGACACTTCGGGTTCCTTGTCGCAGGCGCGCGCCTCTAGAGCTACGTTCGCAGAGCAGCCCCTGCCTGTGTTGGGATGGAAACAGGAAGAGATGGCGCTGCCTTTGGCCTCCTGCTCTTGGGGCTCCGTCGGGAAAGGGCCCCCTCCTCCCCCCAAGTCGCCTCTCTCCCCACAGCGGAGAGTAGAAATGGGGGCGGGAGCGGGTGGCTTCCTATTTGTGTACGAGATGATGGATTTATGTTTCCCTCCACAGCAGGGTGGCAGCTGCACACTTATTTCCCCTTATTTACTTTTGTTATTGTATCATTTCAATAGATTTAAGTTGAGGGTCTTACGGAGACTCTTCCTGGCTCCTCAAAAAGGCCAGAAGAACAGGAAAGGCATAATCCATGTCTGCTGAAGACTGGGCTAGGTAATAGGGAGGCAGTAATAAGACGCAGGGGCCATACTGATTTATTACAATTATTTGTATAGTTTAAATAATATACATATATACGTATGTGTGACTATTATTATATATTTATCTATTTATTATTTATACCCTGCCCATCTGCCTGGGTTTCCCCAGCCACTTTGGGTGGCTCCCAACCAAATATTAAAAACACGATAAAACATCTTCCCTAAACTGGGCTGCCTTCATAAATATATATCAATATTTATTGTTTTCCAATGATTGTTTTTCCTATGTCTTTAGCCGTTGTCTTCCAAAAAGAGATGGAAACCCAGGTTTGTGAAACCCTTGTGTACACAGTGGTCTGCTTGCAGGAAGACTCCCCAGAAGCAGGACTGAAGAATTAGTTCAAAATTAGTATTATTATTATTATTATTATTATATTATTATTACTATTAAAACCCAGCCATTCTGGGTGGCTTCCAAACAAAATATTAAAAATACATGAAAACATCAATCATTAAAAACCTTCCGTAAACAGAGCTGCCTTCAGATGTCTTCTAAACGTCAGATAGTTGTTTATTTCTTTGATATATGATGGGAGGGCTTTCCACAGAGGGGGCGCCACTACTGAGACGGCCTCTGCTGGTTGCCTGTAACTTCGCTTCTCACAGTGAGAGAATCGCCAGATAGGCCTCGGAGCTGGACCTCATTGTCCAGGCAAAACGATGGGGTGGAGATGCTCCTTCAAGTCTACTGGGCTGAGGCCGTTTAGGGTTTAAAAGTCAGCACCATACTTTGAATTGTGCTCGAAAACATACTGGGAGCCAGTGTAGGTCTTTCAAGACTGGTGCTGTTATGTGGTCTTGGCCGCTCCCAGTCACCTGTCTAGCTGCAACATTCAGGATTAGTTGTCGTTTCCAGGTCACCTTCAAAGGTAGCCCCACGTAGAGCGCATTGCAGTAGTCCAACCGGGAGATAACTAGAGCATGCACCACTCTGGAGAGACAGTCTGCGGGCAGGTAAGGGTCTCAGCCTGCTGATACGGAAGGAAAGGGGGGGGGGCAACCATCTTCCCCTCCATCGCTTCCCGAATGGGCCCGAGGCGATGACCTCGACAGTGCCCAACTCGGCCCAGAACCCTCATCCCCCACACCGTTGCACAAGCACCACACTATACCCTGCCTTGATACATAAAGAGCTCCTTTTCCTGTCGCCTATAGTGGCCGAAATAAGCCCGCGATTCTTCCTATGCCTTCCCTCGCATGCTACTCCTTAACGTGAGTAGATCCGCATCATAATGGAACCCCCATTCACTGATATCTGAGCCCCGCCTTTAGCGCAATCACAGCCATGCATGTCGCCTGCAGGAAGCCAGCCTCAGGGAGGCTATGCACGCCTCATTTCACTTCCTGACAAGCCTGGCCTTGACGGCCCCCCCACCTGTGGAGAAAATGGATCCGAAACCAGAGACCTCGTAAAAACTGTCAAAATCCTAGTTACAATGTATCCATTCTTGCTACAATATTCCGTTCTGTTTCCGATCGTGGCCAAACGATACTGAATGGGTCGGAAAGCATAGAAATCTTTGGAAATTGATATAAAAATCAACCGTAACTCCCATTTCTTTGCTTCTGGTGTCATTCTACTCAGTTCCCTTTCGACTCCATGATGTGACCCCTACCTCCATAATCCCCGAAACGGCGGGTCACGTACACAGGAACTTTCTAAATCCTGTCAGATCGTTTCGCCTGACCCTTCCTCCCGGGCAATATTAGGTGGCAGACGATGCATATCTCTGGCCCTTTGTCTTGCCACCACCGGTACTTCATAAATGTTTATCTATGTATATCACTCGCTTCTGCATATTTCCCCCTCCCCTTATCCCAAATGTTAATTAGTGTAACCCCACCTTTCTCTGAGATATTCATGACGTGTGTAATATATTCATGATGCAATCCATGAAACCCAACCTTCCCAATAATTATTCATGACGTTTCGTGCACTGTATTCTGGGACTTGGAGGGAACTTTTAAAAGTTATGTCGCCCCATTCTCGGGTCAATCCCACTTTGAACCTGTTGCGCAATAAACTTGGATCTTCGCATTTTGCTCCTGCGTCCGGCTGAGCTTCCTTTTCTTCCGCTAGAATCCACGGACTTGGTCCGATCGGCTGGGTGGCAGGGTAAATACGCACCCAGGATTTTCCGTAACAGCTTGGCGCCCAACGTGGGGCTTCAGCGGTTCTCCCGGGTTGCTGACCGGGGGCCCCGAATTCTTCAGCCGGCTGCGGGCCACTTTGCCCGAGAAGACCCTTTTGGACCTCCGGCCATCTCCCGGGCGGTAATCAGGAGCCCCAGGAGTTCAGCCGGGGAGCAAAAGGGATCCAGCCGGCTTATTCATCGGTCCTGGGATCGGATCGACGTAGAAGACGCGTGAGTATAGGAAAATCCAGTGCACTGGTGGGAAGGGGTGGAAGTCTCCTGGCAACTGAATTCTCTGCCCTCCTCTCTATCGTACCTTCTTGCCTTTCTCTCGGTCCAGTCAGTGAGAGAGATCGTGGACCACTGCTCGACCCGAAAGGGGGGTTCTGAGCTCTATCTCTTTATCTAAACTCTCCAGCCAGCCGCACCAATTGGGAGCCCGAAGGGTAAGACAGAGAGATCCGACTTGAAAGATAGCCGACTCTCCGCAAACGGGCATCCCAGTTGAAAGCAAGGGGTTGGAGCTCTCCTTCCGATCTTCCCGAGCGTCCTTTCTAGGGGGCAGGAAGTGGTCTTGCTTTCTATCCCAATCCCAGCCGCACCGGTCGGGCTACGTACCACGTGTATCGTAAGCCCGCTTCCGAAAGCAAGGGGGATTTTCGACCCAGAATTCTATCCAGGGATCACCCGATCTGGCACCGCACGGCGCAGGCGTTCAGTAGGGCCCCTTTTCCTGAGAAGTTTGACGATAGGTAGGAGGTTGCCAGGAGGGAATAGCCCATGAGGAATTGGGCGGGACCGGCAGAGTGGAAAAGGGACCCCAGGTAAATGGTTAAGGAAGAAGGAAGGAAGGAATACCGGATAGCTAGAGCTCTTTAAAACCTCCCTAGGAAGTTGCCAAGCGACTAAAGACCTTTTCTTTTTACAAGTCCTTTGTCGGACAGCCCTAGACCCACAAATCCTTATCGACCCCCTCCTCTCTCCTCTTTCCTATCTAGACACGCGTGAAATATACTATGGGTACCCAGGCTTCAAACACGAGCGGACTCACTCTGGGAGGAAGGCTTCCAGGAAGCCATCCCGTTCCCAGAAGGATCCCGACTCTCCTCTCCAATTCGTCATCGCGTATTGGAAGTCGATTCCTGGCCACAAATTGTTATCTAAGGAGAAATTAGAGGACCTCTGCTCCGAAACCTGGCCCGCCAGTACTGCCTCCGCCAAACCCGAACTGCGGTGGCCACCGGGGGGTTCGTTTAATGAAGAACGCTTGAACCACCTAAGGAAAGCCCTGATAGAAGAAAAACCCCGCCAGTTGGAATACCTGGCCACCTTTGAGGCAGTAAGGAGAATGCTCCAAGCCCCAAAGGGAACAACTTCTTACCAATTGCCTATATTAAATCCCGGGCGACAGCCAATGCCCCCCCCTTACGAAGATGACGATGTACGACAGACCCTGGTCCCCTTTTACTATCAAGGACCACCGCCGCGAGCCCCGACACCCCAGCGACAGCAACTCTAGTAGTGGGGAGGAAACGGGGGAGGATGAGGCACAAGACACTGAAAATAGAAGGGTCACACGACTACAAGCAAAAAAGGACAAGGGGGACGCCAAACAAGTTAAACACCCCGGGCAAGCTAAGACTAAAATCCCCTCCTCTACTCTCCATAACACCATTGAGGACTCTACCCAAATCGGGAATAAACCCGCTCCCACGGCACCTTATGGCTCCGCAACGGAGACCCTGGGCTGCGACAAAGAGGCTCCAGGGACTTCGGACCAAGTAAGCTCCACCGTGAGTTCTACTGCGGTCCAGATGCCCTTAAGGGCCCTGCCCATTCCCCCTCTCGTACCTGATGGGCCCCCGCGGATGGTTTACACGCATCAACCCTTCTATACCTCAGACCTGGTAACTTGGTCGAATCAGATGCCCTCACTGAGAGACGACCCGGACAAATGCCACCGCCAGGTCAGCGCTATCTTCTCCACACACAATCCCACCTGGCCAGATGTCCACGTCCTTCTGAATGCTCTCTTCAACGAGGTGGAGAAAGCGGACATTCTAGCTAAAGCCGGGGAAGCCATAGAACTACCCGACTACCAAAGGGGACGGCCTCAGGGATTGCAGGCGCTCACAGCACAATGTCTCAGAGTAGAACCAGCATGGGACTATAACACCACCAACGGGATTTGGTGCTTAAACCTATTTAAAAAGGCAATTTTGGACGGTGTAAAGGCTGCCGGACAACGCACCGTTAATTGGACCAAAGTCCAGTCGGTCATGCAGGGACCAAACGAACACCCGTCCGATTATTACACTAGATTGGTCTCTGCCATTAAAACATGGGGAGGAATAGACCCCGAAAACCCACAGCATGAAGTAATCGTTAAAGGGTTCTTCAAAGATCAGGCTTGCCCAGATATCAGAAAAGCCCTGAATCTCCAAATTGGATATGATGGAAAGAGCGTAAGTGAAATCTTGTCCATCGCAAAATCTGTTTACAACTCTCGGGATGAAAGAAAGAAGAAGGAAACAAAACCCGAGGTTGAACAAATATTAGCATTAAGCATGGAAACTGCCTATGGTCCTAATCGAGGCAGGGGACTCCCTCGAGGAAGAGGGATCCGTGGAGGAGGACCCCCAAACCCCTATAGGCAATGGGGACCGGGGACGGGAGGATGCTACTACTGCCAAGAAGAGGGACACATAAAAAGATTCTGCCCCTACCTAAATGCGACATCCTACGGGGGACAGGAGCCTAAGCCTTTCCCTGTTCGGACTACCCACTCCCCTTTCTCCCCGCAAGCCAACGTAACTCCAGGCTACAACAACCACAACCCAGCGGCTTATACCCCACCGAAGGCCTCGAACCCGATACCTCAAAACCGGCCACAACCGGGACCCCGGACCCAAATGCCGGCCAT